GAAATTTTGGGCTCGGTTGTGGTTGTATACCAAGGACTACTTGTATTGTTTTTGCTTGGGCATTTATTATCTCATTTCTCACAATTTCCCGAGCATTTTGGACTGTGTTTTCTTCTAGGATTTCTATGCAAGGAATTCTTTCTAGTCTTAGTTTGCTAAAGTCAATTCTTTTAAAGTCTAAACATTAGTCTGACTTCGTTCACTTACCTGTGGCTGCATTATGATGAATTCTAGTTTGACTCTCTCACAAAGTTCCTATAGGTTCCACTTCCTATTACTTCCACTCCCTCAACCATTTCTTCCCTACTAGTAAGAATTAAGTCCAGTGTAGCTGACTCTCAAATTCCCTCCTCCACCTTTGGATGATAAAGTTGTCAGCTAGGCACATCAGGAACCTATTTGATCTCTCACTTAATGCAGAATTTTTCTTCCAATTGATGTCAGGGTAGTTTAAGTCTCCCATTACTACTCTGGTCTGTTTTCTGCATACCTTAACTCAGCAATACATGTCTTTTTTTCATGGGGAAGTCTGGTATTTGTATGATGATGTCAGGATTCATACCATTTGCTTAATTGTCATCTGTGGAAATGACAAGATGCGAGGCGCCTTGTGTGTGGGGTGCCACAAGAGTCGGTCCTCTCACCCCTTCTGTTCAACATTTATATGAAGCCACTGGGTGAGATCATCAGTGGTTTTGGGGTGAAGTATCATCAGTACGCTGATGACACTCAGCTGTACATCTCCACCCCGGGCCACCCCAATGATGCCTTTGAAGTGATGTCCCGGTGCCTGGAGGCCGTGCAGATCTGGATGGGGAGAAACAGACTCAGGCTCAACCCGTCCAAGACTGAGTGGCTGTGGTTTCCGGCGTCCCAATATAGTCAGTTGGTGCCATCACTGACTTTTGGGGGCGAGTCATTGGCACCCACAGAGAGGGCTCGCAACTTGGGCATCCTCCTGGATACACGGCTGTCCTTAGAAGAACATCTGACGGCTGTGGCCAGGGGGGACTTTCTATCAGGTTCGCCTGATTTGCCAGTTGCGTCCCTTTCTGGATTGGGACTCCTTATGCACGGTCACTCACGCTCTCGTCACTTCCCGCCTGGACTACTGTAATGCTCTCTACATGGGGCTCCCCTTGAGGAGCACCCAGAGGCTCCAACTGGTCCAGAATGCGGCCGCGCGGGTGGTTATGGGAGCGACATGGCGTTCCCACGTAACACTTCTCCTGCGCGAGCTGCACTGGCTCCCGGTGGTCTTCCAGGTGCGCTTCAAGATACTGGTTACCACCTTTAGAGCGCTCCATGGCTCAGGACCTGGGTACTTACGAAACCGCCTTCTGCCATCGGTAGCTTCTCACCCGCCAGTACACTCCCACAGAGAGGGGCTCCTCAGGATGCCGTCGGCCAAACAGTGTCGACTGGCGGCCCAGAGAAGGCACTGAGAGCCTTCTCTGTGGGGGCACCTGCCCTTTGGAACGAGCTCCCCCTGGAGATACAGAGGATCCCAGATTTACGCACTTTCCGCCGTGCCCTCAAGACTTTTTTATTCCAACAAGCAGGGCTGGCCTAACTCTTTTTTATTGTTTTATTTTAATTCGAATTTGTTTTTAAAAATAGGGGTGTTTTAATTAGCATGGGCCAAATTTATTTAATATGTTTTTTTTAAAAAAAATTTTTTAATTTTATATTGTATCTGTTTTATCTATGGCTGTTCACCGCCCTGAGTCCTTTGGGAGTAGGGCGGTATATAAATCTAAATAAACTAAACTAAACTAAATTGTATGTAAATCGGATATACTGATGTTGAGATTGACCTCTGCATGCATGTATTATAAAATGCACTATGAAGAAATAGACAGCAAAAGCTAAATACAAAGAAATTGAGTTTTGTACCCATTAAGTTTAATTGTTTAATTGGAGTGTATTAGAAGGCAAAGATTTTAAAATATAATGGGAATTTGAAGGTTTTCATTCCTATAATCAGACTTGATTTAGGATAAATAAAAAATAGTCTATGAGAAAAAGACACTAAAAAAGCAACAATTTGATCTTTTGCAACAAAAGCAACCTTTATCAATATTTTATTGAGATCAATCTGAATTATGATAAAGTCCAGTGGTAATCTTAAACACCTATTGAAGTTAGAAAACTGTATGAATATATTCAGATTTCATTTTAAGTAAGAAAAGGTGGGATGGTACAAAAGATCAGATAAATGACAAATGAGACTCTTTTAAAGAAAACTTTGGCTATGCATGTTCTCTAGATATATCTATTTGAGATATGTTTTTACCATTTTTTTAAATATTAATTAAGGTTATAATTATCATTCTGTGTGGTTTTACTTTTTAAGTTACTATGGATCTGAAAAGTTTTGATAGAATAAAATAAAATAAAGAGCAAACTCACAATAAAGACAAGTAATTATTATCATCACAACACTTTTGAGAAGAGTGAGAAGTGTTTGCATGAGAGAGAGGAAAAAATATTATTTGCAGATGGAACAGGAAACCAATGCTGCAATCTGAAATGCAGAATTAGTTTGTCACTTCTTTAATGTTTCCTGAGAAACATCTCTAATTTGCCAATGAGAACAATTTTCTCATTTTATTCTGTATGAAAGTGTGTATAGGTGTGTACTGTACAGATCCTTTTCCTTTTTTGTTGTTGTTTTCAAGTGGTACGGCACTAATGATGATGTGGTTCCTATATATTTAAATAATAGTATAAATAAAAATAAAAAGGAACAAAAATGTAAAATAATGCAGAAGCCAGAACAGAATGGGCCAGATGTGTTATGAAACAGTGGGAAGGTTATTTAAAAATAGAAACTTTTCATGATATGCACAAACACTATTACTTTTATTAATTCAAAACCAAATGAGAATGTAATAGAAATGCCCAAAATCCAATGTAATTCAGATTTAGAGGGTATTGAGTATAAGACACAAATTTTCCAGAGAAACTACATTCTCAATCCTTTCCAGGGAAAAGTCAAGTTTTTTTTAAGTAGCCCAAAATGCAAGCATACAAAGAAATTCACGGTTACACACATTTATTTATTATATCCTTTTAATATTCTAAATATACCAGATATGCTAAATAACTTACAATTTCCCCTCCCAGAACAATACACACATAAACATCACTGTAATGCTGTACATGTAAGTAGAGTTCTCCCCACCAGTGGTCCTGCGGAAGAAGAAAATATTTATTACTTTATAAAATATTAACAGAATGAGCACTATCCTAACTTGGGAAGTAATTTCCCAGAGTGAGAAGTTGTGACCATCCAACAGAACTCCACTCCCTAATTCCTTAGTGAGTAGGAATTCGCTGTATTCCCTCTTGGCTAACACATTGGTGGGCAGATTCTATTTGGAATAGATGATCTTAGTGAGGACCTTAGTCATGGAGGTTATTATGTAAACAATATCAAATTTATAAAACTGATACAAAATGCATATAGATTCAAAGAAACAAAATATAGTAATTCACAATGAATCATCATCCCAATCAGATTGCAGTTAACTGTATAACTCCAATCTGATATAGGGATTCTGTCCTCTTTGAGGTGGCCTTTGAAATGAAGAATGCAATCTTATTGATGATGTACAGATTTGTTCCCTGCAATAAGTAAGACTTTCTCCTGGGTGCCCCAATAGGTTAATTTAAACATTTATATGCCTGGAACTTCTAGGGCCATGATGGCGAATCTATGGCACATGTGGACATACGAGCCATTGCCCTAGCTCAGCTCCAGCACACGAGTGTGTTGGCCAGCTGGTTTTTGGCTGGCCCCACCTACGCTGCCCCTCCCCTCCCAGGGGTCTCCACACAGCCCATTTTGTATTCCAGTTAAGTACAGGGCTCGCGCGGAGGCTCTGGGAAGCTCTTTTGGCCTCTGGAGGGCCTCTGGGGTGGTGGGGGAGGCCATTTTCGCCCTCCCCAGGCTCCAAGAAAGCCTCTGGAGCCCGTGGAGGGTAAAAACGGGCCTACTGGGCCCACCAGTAACCTTTTTGCCGTCACATGCCAAAAGCTGGAGGAGCATGGGGGGTCACATGTGCAGGGGGCAGGGCACGGGGGGCATTGAATTATGGGTGTAGGCACGCACGCGTGTGACCCCCCCGCACTCTCCCCACTTTGGCACACAACAGCAAAAAGGTTATCCATCGCTGTTCTAGGGAGACCAAAAGGATAAAGATCTTAGACTCTTAGTGTCCTTTCTACTGTTATATGAATAACAAGTTTAGTTGGCATGAACGGTTAAGAAGTAGGACTCTGGACATATTTGGAAATACTGTATAGATTTGTGTCCAAAATGCAGTTCCTGTTGAAGTTTGGTGTTTATCATATCAACATATTTTATTATTCATACTTAATTAGAAATTAGACATTTGGATTAGACTTTGTAGCGGAACATGGAAACTTTCGTTCATTTTATGAAACTACAGGCCTTTTGGTCTGTTTGGCAAGCTAGAAAGTATTCAAAGCTATTAATTTATCTTGCGGACGGCGTTGGGGTGTTTTGAGCTAGATAAAATATCGGAAGAGTTCTTAACTATTATTTTCATTCCTCTATTTTACTGGCATCGGCTTTAGTTTAAAAATGTTTTGAGTTCCAATTTTTAATTTAGCCCTCCCCCCTCCCTCCACACACCCCGCGCGCCTGCATTCCGATAAAAGAAAAAGGAACAGAGTTATCAGTAAGGAATCATCACTAAGTCTCAGTTTGGAAAGCCTGTTCCTTTTATAGTTCTGCATCGGTCTCTTTGCCAGACACGGAATACGTTTCCTCCCCCTTTGCACACGTGCACCTCTTGAGTAACGGTGCCCTAAGCTCTGATTTCAACACTCCACGGCCCAGAATCTCCTTCAAAACTACGAAACCCGCCCGGCGAATTGGTAAAGGAGACGGCAGCGCTGACGCCCCCTCGTGGCCGAAAAAAAAAGGGGGGGCGGACTTCACAGCGCAGGCGCCACACTTCCGGGGGAAATTGCTAGCGAGCGCGTGGTCTAAGTTCTTTTGCCCCCTCCCCCCCCTTCCCCCGATTGCTGCTTCCCCCTCGCGCGCTGGTTCCTCTTGGCTCGCGATGGTGGGGAAAATAGTAAGGCGGAGGAGGCTCCACCAACCCGCGCCGAAGCCGACACAGCCACAGCCGAGTGGGGGCGAGGAGGTGCTTTCGGCGGCCCTGCAGACCTTCAGCGCTAACACCGGAAAGGTGGGTGGTGATGGTGCGAGGAGGAAGCGATGAAAAGAGGAAGAGAAGGGCGCAAGAGACGCTCTTCGGTGTCCTAAGCTCTTATTTCAACACTCCACTGCCCAGAATCTCCTTCAAAATACGAAAGCCGCCCGGCCAACTCGTAAAAGAGACGGCAGCGCTGCCGCCCCCTCGTGGCCGTAAAAAAAAAAGGGTGGTGGTGGGCGGACTTTATAGCGCACGCGCCGCACGTCCTGGGGAAATTGCTGATCTTACTGTGAAAGGAGAAATTTTCTGAAAGTTTAGAACACTTAATCAATGGAATAGCTTGCCTCCTACAGTTCCATCACTTGGAGGTTTTCAAAAATAGACTGGACAACCATTTGACCGAGATGGTATGAAATCTCTTGCCTTGAGCAGGATTGTACTAGAACAGGGGTCTCCAACCTTGGCAGCTTTAAGCCCGGAGGAGTTGCTGGCTGGGGAATTCTGGGAGCTGAAATCCTCCGGGTTTAAGCTGGCTGGGGAATTCTGGGAATTGAAGTCCTCCGGGCTTTAAAGCTGCCAAGGTTGGAGACCCCTGGACTAGAAGACCTCTGAGCTCCCTGCCAGCCTTATGATTCTGACTTCTATGTTCAACCAATTTTCAGTTTGCAGTTTTGATCACTGCAATTGACAGTCTGAGAAAGGCTGATTTTAAAAAGTAATTCCTATGTCTAAAAAAGAAAAGAAATTAAGTTGATTTTCATTTAAGCTGCATTTTTATAGTAGCAACAGTGATGTTGTTTTAATTCTTGCATTCTTGAATAAAATGGCAAAAACAGCAGCCTCATATGTCTCAATATGATTAAAGTGACATTTTGAGGAAAGAAAAGAAAAAGTACCCCCAAAAACAAACGAATGTTCTTATAGAGGTATTAAAGCCTGTTCCATAACTGAGGGAGCTCAACCAATCTCATTGCACATATGTTGTGCACTGACAATAAAGATTTGAATTTGAATTTTTGATGGATAGACTCAGAATAAGTCGGGTGCTGCGACTGCTGGCCTAGCCCTTGAAGCAGCAGGCAGAGGCAAGGGGAGGAGGCATGTGATCTGGCCCACCGGATGCACTGCACAGCCACTTCCCCCGTCATGGCCATGGGCAAGCAAAGACAGATGGTGGGACAGAATGGTGGCTGGCTGTGGGAGGCTCATCTCACGTGTGCAGTGGAGCTGGAGAACAGCAGGGGCCGAGCGCGCAGGGGCCACGGCATGGCACTACCCCCGCCTCGCTACCTGCCTTGTGGCGGGGGCACTGGCAGCATGCAGAAGCAGAGGCATGAGGAGGCCTGCTGTTCTGTCCCCGTACCATGCACACACCCAACCAGCCAGCCGAGGGTTAAATAAACTCTTCAAACACTCAACTTCAGTGATAAGGAACTTGGCAGCAACTCCATGGCTGCCTGCCAAGAACTTTTACTCCGATAACACAGACAAAAATACACACAGTTTGAATAGTCCAGTTTGTAATTAAATCCACAGCAAATAGGCGTTGTGTCCAAAGGTGCAAAGTGACTCACCAGAGATTAGCTTTGTCCGTCACAGAGTCTGAATGGCCACCACACTCCCTTTTATAGCCTGTGGGGTGTGGTCCAGTGACTCAGCTTAATCTCTGGCACGCCTCCTTTTCTGCTGCGCACGCTTGTCTCTCCGACGCTGGCGTGGGTCCAACCACAATGTTTCTTCATCACTATCCGACGGCTCGGAAACACCTGGCTCCTGGCCAATCTCTTCTCCTTCGGGAGACACCTGAGGCATTGCCAGAGAGGAGGGTCCTGGAGAGGGAGGCCTGGCCGTCTCCTCTCCTTCATGTTCGGAGCCTTCTTCCTCCGATAAGATAGGCTCGGAGGACGGAGCCACAACACCTGCGATCCGGCTCGCCAGACATGGCCACCTTCCCCATTGCAGCCGCGGGCAAGCAAAGAGGAAAGGCATTGTCCGGAACTCAGAGCTGAGGTTTCCTGCTCATGTGCTTAGTTGCCAGCACACCCATGTGAAACACTACAGAGGTGACTTCATTTTACAGGCTAGATTTGCCCCTTTCCCATTTCTCTCCACATTCCTCTCTCCTTCCCTCCAGAAAGGAAATCTCTGCCTTTCAACACAGGCAAGGCTGATGTACAGGATCTCCCTGCTTCTCCCCAGAGCAGTTATCTTTCATTGTCAAAACTGGGAAGCCACCTATTCTTCCTCTTACCCACCTCCCCAACCACCAATCAGCTCAGCCCACCCCTGCACAAGGCTCCAAGAGGAGTTGCAGGGTCCTTGCAGAGGCAGGCGGTGGGGGTGGTGCCACACCGCGGCTCCTGTACGCTCAATCCCGTGTGTTCCAGCTCTGCCGCACATGCAGAACAAGCCTCACATGGGCCCCCGCCCCACTGTTTGTCTTTGCTTGCCCCCAGCTGTGATGGTGTGCTGCATTATGTGCCTACCCCCCATGCCTCTGCCGCTTGGAGGGCCGGGCCGATTGTTGCTGCGCTCAGACTCACCTTTGCTGCACAGACTGTCGGCCTCCATATGCTTGCTGCTTCCTGTGCTGGCCATGCCCCCCAGGGCTGACAATCTTAATGGGGGTTATTTTGGGAGGGTAGGGCTTAAATTAGCAGCACCCTAAAAATCATGCTAGGGCTTATTTTCTTGTTGGGTCCTATTTTTGGGGAAACAATAAAAGTTAATAAGCTAAATATATTAAATCAGCTTGAGAACAGGGTAGTGATTACATAAACTAAGATACCAAGTGGTTTGAAGTATTATACGTTCTGCAAAAAGACTAGCAGTGTTTGCATACTAGATTGCATTACAGTAAACATACCTCCTTTAAAAGAAGAAATGAAGTTATTGCTCCAATTCTGTATATCAAAATGGAAACAATGATTAAACATTGGCTATCTCCCATCTTTTTTTTTTGTTCTTGTTAGGGCAAGGGAGTTCTGACATCAGACATATTTTCTGGAGTGAATATTGATCCAAAAATTCTAGTGAAGAAGTTGGACACTGATTCAAGGAATCCTGTTTCAGTCATAAAAGGTAAGAATTGAGCGTCTTTACACATGTCTTTGCAATGAATAAGAATGTAAAAATGGATAAAATTCATCTTGTAATGGCTGTAATTTGATTTGATTTGATTTGAAATTGATAAATTGGATCAAGGGACAGAAGTGGAAATAGCTTCATATTGAACAGAAAGCATACTTTTCTTCATGCTTAACATCACGATAACAATGATTCTTTGGCTGCTTCTCTACTTTGTGAGAAATAGATGATCTCAGGGGACTGGAATTCTCCCCATTAAGACTTGTTGGTGATGTGATCCTGGTTATCAGGGCATGTGAACTGGATCCAGTTCATCTCCCTAACTTAAATCAGTGCTTGCTCCCAAAAGCACATATTTTACTCGTTGGGAACACACTGGAGTTCTCAAAGTCTATCTTTGTGGTTTTTTGCTCATAATATTCTTCCCTCCCTGACTATGTCTGAAGTGCATTTATGTCAAAATTGCTCAGAAGAGAATGGAAAACAGAGTGCAAAAACTTACTGCTGATTTGTTTAATGTCCTGTATTTTTAGTGTAATAATGCAGTTAGGCTAATTTTTTGCTAAACAACTTGCAAAAATGACTGTTGTAAAATTATTTAATTTTTGAGAAATTGGGCGTTGGTCTTACCTGATACGCCATTTCTAGTCACTAGGAAACGCTGGTCACATGAGGGATGAGACTTATCCAGTAATCCTAGGACCGAGTCTACCAACTAAAGAAGTCTCGCCTCTTTCTGTATTCAGTTTGAGACTAGGACGTACGGTAAACTGTCGTGTCTGTAAAGATAAAAGAGAAGTAAAAAATCCCCAGGACCCACCCCTGTCCTCCAACAGCCATAATCCATCACAAGAGGTGCCGAACCAACTGGGAGGGGGTGACCGGCATTTCCTAGTGACTAGAAATGGCGTATCAGGTAAGACCAACGCCCATTCTCAGTCACGGAGGAAACGCTGGTCACATGAGGGATGGATATATCAAAGCCCATGTACCTATTGGGAGGGAGAAGGCCGGCACCGCTCGTGGTCCTGGAAAGATACCCTCTGCAGCACTCGTCGCCCAAAGGAAGCTTCCGCCGATGCATAAACATCCAACCGGTAATGCCGGATAAACAGAGACGGAGAAGTCCATGTAGCAGCTCGGCAGACCTCCTCGAGAGACGCTTGGGTAGACCAGGCAGCCGAAGAAGCTGCGCTCCTGGTAGAGTGGGCAGTAACACCACGAGGCACTGGCAAGGATTGAGCTTCGTAAGCTAAGGAAATGGAGGCCCTGAGCCAACGACCCAAGGTAGTGGAAGAGACCTTCGACCCCATGGACTGGGGTTGGAAAGACACAAAAAGGGCCTCAGAACGACGAAAGGAAGAAGTCCTGGAGACATAAACCTTGAGAGCCCGACGAACATCAAGCTTGTGCCACACCTTCTCCAGGCGATGACGGGGGGAAGGGCAGAAGTTGGGGAGAATGATTTCTTGAGAACGATGGAAGGCTGTATTGATCTTTGGAATGAAGGCTGGATCTAATCGTAAAACCACTCGATCAGCATGAATGATGCAGAGGTCCTGATGAACTGAGAGAGCGGCCAACTCCGAGATTCTCCGAGCCGAGGTAATCGCTACGAGAAAGGCCACTTTAAAAGACAAAAACTTCAGAGAGACTTCCCGGAGAGGCTCAAAGGGAGGACCAGTAAGAGCCAATAGAACCTTGTTCAGGTCCCAGGTCGGAAACCGATGAACCGAGGATGCAGATTGGAAGTGCCTCTGAGGAATGAACAGATAAGAGGGTGAGTGGACACAGGCTCCGAGGTACCGCAGGTGAGGATAGAAGAGATGGCAGAGATTTGCCTCCTGAGAGTATTGGGAGAAAGTCCCGACTTGAAACCATCCTGAAGAAATCCTAGAATGTCAAGAATGGAAGCAGCAGTAGGAAGAAGCTTCTTACGTCGACACCAGGCAGAGAAGGCCATCCAAGTGGCATTGTAAATACGGTTTGTCAACTCGCGACGAGAAGCCTGGATCGTAGAGATTATTTCCGAAGGGACCCTGGCTGTGGACAGGAGGAACCGCTCAACCTCCAAGCGGTCAGCCGGAGCCACTGAGGGTCTGGATGAGCTAGGCGGCCTTGCCACAGAGAGATCTTGTCGTCCGGAATCTGCCAATAGGGTGAGACAGAGAGAGCCACCAGATCCACAAACCACGGTTGTCTGGGCCAGAAGGGAGCCAGAAGGACGAGCTCGGCTTGTTCCTGCAACAGCTTCCTGATGACCCTGGAGATGAGGGGAAGAGGTGGGAAAGCATAGAGAAGAAGACCACAAGGCCACGGGCTGATCAAGGCATCCACAGCCTCAGCCCCCTGGACAGGAAACCTCGGGAGCTGGTGGTTGGATTCGGATGCAAAGAGGTCTACTGCTGGAAAACCGAAGCGATTCACAATGTCCTGGAACAGAAGCGGATCGAGGCTCCACTCCGTCTGGTCCACCACTGAGCGACTGAGGGCGTCCGCTTGTACATTTGAGGACCCCGAGATGTGAGAGGCATATATGGAGTCCAAGTGACTCTCCACCCACCTGAAGAGACGGGAGGCTTCCCTCATGAGTGCCTTGGAGCGGGTCCCTCCTTGTCGGTTGATGTGGGCCTTGGCAGCTACGTTGTCTGCCCTGATCAAGACATCCAGACCCCGAAGGAGAGGAGCGAACTTGCGAAGGGCCCGGAAGATAGCTCTGAGCTCCAAGATGTTGATGTGAAGTCCTCTCTCCTGGACTGACCACTGCCCCTGAGCCAGATGAGACCCCAGGTGAGCCCCCCATCCAAAGAGGCTCGCATCCATGGTGATGCTTACGCGCTGAGGATCTCTGAATAGGCACCCCCGAGCAAGAGCCAGAGAGGTCCACCAGGCCAAGGACCGAAGAACTGCTGGGGTCAAGGGAACTCTGGTCACTGACATACTCCTGCGAGACTGTTGAAACGGAAGCAAAAACCACTGAAGTTTTCGGCTGTGAAACCGAGACCAGGGCGTGATCCCAAAGGCAGATACCATCTTCCCTAACAAGCGGGAAAGACCCAGGAGGGAAAAAGAACGCGAAGCTCTAACCTGACCTGCCAATTCAACAATACTGTCCTGACGTTCTTGTGTAAGGGAAACCTGCAACCTGACAGTATCAATAACAGCCCCCAAATGCTGGATGCAGGTGGAAGGAACTAAGTTGCTCTTGGAACGATGAACCAAAAAACCATGGGACTGCAGAGTTTGAAGGGTGACCTGAACATCCCTATTACCCCGGGCCTCAGAACTAGACAAAATAAGAATATCATCTAGATAAAACAAAACTCTAACAGGAAATGATCTCATATAGCCCGATAAGGAAGCCATGATCTTCGTAAAAACCCTGGGAGCCGAAGAGAGGCCAAAGGAAGGGCTCTATACTCATAATGCCTACCCTGATAACAAAAACGGAGATACTTCCGATGTTCAGGAAATGTGGGCACATGAAGATATGCCTCCGTCAAGTCGATGGTGGACAAAAAATCACCTGGACGAATAGAAAGGAGAATAGTCTGGAGGGATTCCATCTTGAACCGACGATAGACTATATATCTGTTCAAGGATTTAAGATCCAATATGGCCCTCCAGCCTCCTGAAGCCTTGGGAACTAGAAACAAACGAGAATAAAAGCCCTGGCCGACTTCCTCCTGGGGAACACATTGAACAGCCCTAATCTCCAAAAGATGTTGAATAGCCTCTTCCAGCAGAACCCTCTTGGTTCTGACATGGGAAACTGGGCACCTGACAAACAAGATAGGGGGAACAGAAGCGAACTCAAGGTTTAAACCAAACCTAATTGTACACCTAATCTAAGGATCTGAAACTGAAATATCCCATTGGTCAGCAAAGGATGCTAACCGACCTCCAATTATGGAGTCAGGGATAGGAAAGGGAGAACTAACGGGATCTACGGAAGGGGCGGCCCCTACCTCCCCTGAAGGGCCTGTGGGAAGGGAAACGGGACCCCTGCCTGACCTGGAAATCCTGCTGTTGTCCACCCCTGGGCTGAGAGTAACACTGAGGCCTGGACTGGAAGGAAGAGTAGTCAGAGCGAAAGGAATTGGCTCGAAAGGAACTCTACTGACGAGGATCAGATCTTCTCGATAAGGAAGGCAGAATCTTGCGATGATCCTTTGTCTCGATGAGAACTGGATCCAATGCTAAGCCGAGAAGGGAGCTGAGGCAAGCCTCCACTTGTTCCGGGCATCCGCCTGCCACTGTCGAAGCCAAAGAAGCCGTCATGATGTCACTGAAGCCCTGATAGCCTTCGCTGAGAACCTGGCCGCATTCAGAGTGGTATCAGCAGAAAACTCAACATTAGTTAGGATTTTGTTGATGTCCTGGTGGGATCGTACATCAGAAGAAGGCAGCGGTTCCTGCAGTTGGCGAAGCCAAAGAATGGAAGCCCTGTTAAAAAAGGAAGCGGCCGAGGAGGCCTGAATGGACCAAGCTGAGGCCTGGTGATCCTTGACCAAGGAGCGCTCAAACTTCTTGTCTTCAGGACGCAGAGATTCCTCTGACGGACCAGTAATAGGAGATGCTGAAGAGAGAGCCACCACAGGTGCATCTACAGAGGGAACTTGAAGGATGTTAGCAAATTCAGAAGCCATATTGTAAAATCTTTTATCTAGACCATTAGGAATAGGGCCAAAACTAGTAGAAGACCACTGTCTTTGGATCACATCAGAAAACAGCTTGGGAGCTGGAACCACCTCTGCACGAATGGAAGGCTCCTGAAATAATAATGATGAAGAGGGATGCTGAGAAGAAGATGTAGAAGCCTCCTTTTGAGTGGAAGAAGAAGAACTTCCCAAGCCAGTAACATTTTGAGCTTTATATAACAAGGATCTGAATAATTGAGGCTTGAAAAGCCCAATGAAGGAAGGCTGGTCTGGCTCCAGACCTTCATCATCCGAGAGATCTTGATCCGGGACAATTTCCCCTTCAGATAGGGAACCTTGACTTGCATTTTCCTGGGAATCCCTCCTTTCCTCACAATCCACAGGATCAGCAACAGCCTGGGCCCTCACAGAACGACTCTGCTGACTCACATAACTGGAGGCCTCAGAAGAGGCTCTTTGCTGCAGGCCTTCAGCAATACCCTGCCTAATTGATAATGAAATACGCTCTGCCAAGGCAGGAGTTAAACTCAAAGGAGCCTCAGCCCCTTGATTGCTAGATTGAGCTGGAACCTCAGGGGGTCCTTGCCTTGGAGGGGCCTGAATAGACACAATTGGAGATAGAAGCCTAGCAGCAGGAAATACAGAAGAAGCATCAGCAGCCACATTCTCACCCAGAGTAGACTGATCTGGAGAAAAATCATGTTCAATTTGGATTTGAGAAGGGGGAACAGCCACATTGGAAGTGGGGAGGGCAGAGGATTTAGAGGGCCCCATAGCAGGAGATGAAACTCTAGAGGCCTCCGATGCAGCCTTCTGAGAGGCCTTTTCCATGGCCTTATGCCTCCTGGTCTCTTCCCTTGATGATGCAGCAGGATTGGCACTCTTGGAATGAGTGGATCTAGTAGAAACTCTGGCTGCCTTGGAAGGGACAGGGTCCTCTGAAGATCCTTCCTTAGGATCAGAAGTATGGCCCCTCTTTCCTTTGTTCTGGGATTTATTGCCCCTAGCATCCGCCATTTTGGAGCAGGAAATTACTTTCACAGCTCAGAAATCTAAGACCAAAAGAGGGAAATAACCCTTAAATATACACCCACAAGGAATAATTGGTGGTTCAGGTAACTCACTGCGCCAGGAGAGAAGCTGGAAGGAGCCAGAAGCCAGAATGGTCATACAGGAGGCTGGAAATGGCTGCTAGCCAAATGGCTTAAAGGCGCGGCAAAATTAGGCGCGGAAAAGCCTCGCGCCAAAACTTGCAGCAACAAAGGTTCCAACAGCTGCAGGAGGCAAGGAAACCTCCCAAATCGCCCCAAAAGGACAGAAAACTGCTGCTGATAGGCACGGCGGTGCTTACGCACGTGCGCGCTGCCGCGGGGCTGCTCGTGGCTGCTGGAACGCTCCTAGCGCTCCCCAGATGATTTCAATTAAGTCCTGCTGCTTTTTTGTAAAACGCCAGCAAAGTAAGTAGAAATGAGGAAAATAGGTAGAAAATAGCAAAAAATGGCCAAAAAAGCTCTCCCCACGTGGAGTTAAAAGGGAGAGCTAAACAGACACGACTGTCCTCTACCGGACCAAGTCGAAAAACTGGATACAGGAAGAGGCGGGACTTCTTTAGTTGGTAAACTTGGTCCTAGGATTACTGGATAAATCACATCCTTCATGTGACCGGCATTTCCTCCGTGACTGAGAAGTCCTAGTTACTGTTATTTGTTATACTGTTCCTCAGTTTACCTGTCTATCTATAAACATGCAAACAGATACACATGCATACAGACATGCACACACTAAGTAAGTACCGTGTTTTCCCGAAAATAAGACCCTGTCTTATATTTTTTTGAACCCTGAAATAAGCACTTGGTCTTATTGCCATGCACTCAAAAGCCCGATTGGGCTTATTATCAGGGGATGTCTTATTTTGGGGGAAACAGGTTATCTTGTGGTGCATCTTGTCCCTTGAGAGAAATTTTCATAAAATGTAGAAATTCATCCAATAATGCTCTATATTTTTTAATACAGATTTTTACCTCTTGGTGCTTAAATATAAGCAGCTAGAAGCTGGGCAAGTCATTCTTGCCTAAGATGATATATCCCCCATCCCTTCAAAAAAAGTTTACTTATAAGTGCTTTTCTCCTTTTAATTCAAGAGAAAGTTTATGGACAAGTGCTCTTATAGTATTGATAATCCAATACAGTATTACTCTGTAATATTATTTAACTAATTCACTGTCTTATGGATGCCTTAATTGTTGGCAAACTTGCACCCTCCAATCTATTACTTTCCAGCCATTACAATTATCTACATTTTTACAACACAATTAGCTCTTATCTTGTAGAATTTTCAGAACTTTCATGAGCTAGAAGTTGCTATTTCAAGAATCTCAAATCTACCCTCTAAAATCATGTTGTTAAACTCCTAACATTTGAATCAAACATTTATTACATTCAATACTAATATTTTGCAGTTTCCGTGGTAACTAGATTGCAGAATGAATTGTTTTCATGAGGCTTACATTTTTGGAAATAAAACAGTCAGGTCTTAGAACATAACGTTGTATATAGATATCATTAGGTCAGAATTTAAAGCAATAGAGGCTGTAACATCCAGATGCCGCCAATTTTTAAAAAAAGTTTATTTGCTTCTTCATTCTTTGCTTTTCTTACATTTTGACTGATTAAGGTTCTGGAGAATTAGACATCCCTTAATATCCTTGTTGATTCTAATAAAGTTACTGATTTTTTTTTTCAGAAGGATAAGCATGATTTTCATTTGCATATGTAATAACTGATAGAAAAATGTTTCCTTTCTAGAAGGAAAAATATTTGTAAAATGAATTTACAGGCTACTGCCAATATTATGGAAGCAGACTTTTGTTTGTGCAGTAGAACTTCTCCTTCCTTTCCTTCCTGCTCGTAAGAGTTAGTTCTCATACTATCAATACTATCAGTGTGAACTAGATACGAACAAATCTGACCATGTGACAACAAAGGACAGATGGAAAAAGGCTAGAAAGGAACAGGCAATATATTATATAGCGCAGGAGAAAAAAAAAATCGAAAAGTTTGAATATTTCTTCTTTGTGACCACCCAGCCACGCCCACCTGGCCACTGTAAGTCATCATAGTTTTACATGCAACTGGTCCTTTGAGGGCAACCATAATGCTGATGTGGCTCTCAATGAAATTGAGTTTGACACCCCTGGATTATAATGTAGTTGAAACAATCTATGGCTTTCATTTTATGTTTGAATTTATATTAAAGCTCGATGACCTTGCCCTTCACACATATTTGTCCATGCCAAATCAGAATATATGCTGAAGCATTCAACTGGAAGAAGTACACAGTTTGGAAATCCAATAAATTGCTAATGAAAATGCCATTTCACAAATATTGACTGAAAAAAGAGCAAGCTTTGGTGGTTGTCAGTGTCCTCTTCATGCAGCAGATGATAGCAGTGCTAAAAATAATATCAGGAAAGGGCAAGAATGATTTACCAATGTTTGAAATCCATTTTGCAAGCTTTCTGTTTTGATACCTGAGCAAGCAAAAAGATGCAAATTAGAGGTTCATTAAGAATGTTGCAGTTTGCTTCTGAGTGTAAATAATACAGAATCCTACAGAGTTGTGTGACCTCTTTCTTAAAACATCCAAGTTCAGTCTGAGGTAGTCATTCATATCCCATTAATGTAGTACATATAGGAAGGAGAATATTTGCCTGTTCCCTATACTATCAGAAAGAATAAGGAGAAACTTGCAAGGGGCACACTATGGGGTGCATGTTCTCTGATCAGTATCTCCCTTCTGAATTGATTTTACCTGTCCTATTCCATTAAAGCACTATGGATTTTCTGTATGCAGAAGGAATATTGGTTTCTATCGCTTTTCTGAAGATAAAAAGCAATTACAATAATAGTTGCCCTTTTTTTAGAATTTATCTTTTGTTTTCACATAAAACCTTATTAAAGATATCATCTATAATCCAGTAATTGGATGCTTATGGACTAGCACCCCAATCATGTTATTTATATAGCCTAGTTAGAATATTTTAAGTCTTTATTAATTATAAAAGACAGAGACAGTAGATGTAGGCTGTTTAATATGTTGTTTTATTTTCTGTTCAGTTAATTACATTTATTTCCATATATATTCTCTATGCATATAGAGAATATATTGTTCATTGATGCAAAGAAACATTGTTATTATTTCTTTTGTGTTTCAGATGAAGATGAAAAAGTAATGTCTAAGAAAGAAAAAATGAAGATGCGTAAGGAGAGATGGCTGCAAAGTTAGTATTTGTTTAATGATTTTCACAGATAGCTGGATTGTTAGGTACAGTGTGTCAAACAAGAAAATGCTCCTGGAAATATGAATAAGAATCTGTCTGAACAGTTATTTCTGACAAAGGCCCAGTATATATATGGAATGGGGTGTATAATTCTGCTGGCTCAAATTATTTCAAAATTTACCTAATTTTCTTAAATACATATAAATGTATGTGCATATAAAATACAAATGCTAAATACTATATAGTAGTTTGTCGTGTAATGCCTTTTAATTACAGAAATAAACCATACAGAAATAATTCCCCTTCTATAATTCTATAATTTCTAAGGTTTTTGCCCCCAAATCTAAGATCTTGCCTAAAAATTACATAAGAAGTAATCATGTGAGCGAGCCATATTCTGACTGTTAAGAAGGTTAGGTTTCTGCCTGGGACAGACAGATAAATCTAGTGGGAGTATAGAACCCCAGGCCACTTTGGTCTTCTGTATTGTATTCGATGGCTAAAATTCTCTGGGGCTATAGAGAAGCTGGAACGATTCCTCACTGGAGGAGAAATATAATTTAAGTACATGGAGAAAATGGGGTTACATTGGTGCTTCTTTTGCCTGTTTCCAAGGAGCCTTCTCAATTTTAATTGATAAGGGTGTGGTTTTGTGTGTGTTGAATGCTTCTGTTCCCAGAAGCAAACATTTGAAGACAACGCTGACTTAATGTTTAATAATTTGGTATTAGTTGTATTGCTTAGTTAAGATTATAATGTGCCTTTGATTGCTTTAAGTTAGGGAGATAGTCCCAAAAAGGAAAAAGACAAGAGTAATGTCTTTGGCTACCATAAAGCATAAAGGGTAGAAGTGGAAAGGTAAGAAAATAATGAGCCACTTGTGGTAAGAAATATGGGATTTCATGATTCAGCACAAATGAAGTGGAGCGAACAAAGGAACATAGACATCTAAAGTCTCTTCATAAGTGGAATCCTGGAAGGCCAGATAACAACTAAAATGGTTTCCTGAGAGGACATTTTAATAACCAAAAATTGTTTCTCAGGATAGACAAAGTGTATTTTTAAACTGTGTACTCATTGGGCTATATAGATTTTGCAAACAAATATCCCTCAGTGAGATGTTTCATGCCAAGATCAAAAAACACAGTTAACTCACTGAGGTTTCATTAAAGATAAGTTATTTTAATGATCTCTAGACAATAAAATGAATAATAATGATAAAATGAATATCTAAGTACATACTGTAGAACCAATTTCACACTTCAATCTTAGAAGGTCATTAGCATATCTGACTTGAATTTATAAATCTTGAGAATGGTTGGAGTAATGAGAGAGAATGATTGGAGAAGAAAAATAATGAGACTTAATAATAACAGCTGAACTGTTTTTAGAGGGCAGAGATTTGTTAGCTAGGGAGGAAATTAAAATGGAAAGTCTGACAAAAAGTCTTATCCTTGTACTCTTATCCTTGTATAACTATTCTTTGGGAAATAGCTGAACTACTGAAGGGAAGGGGGAAGTTACAGGATTGAAGAATTACAAAAAGTGTAACCAAGTAATTGATTTGAGTTCAATTGAACTGTCACAGGGTGATCCTTTATAGATAAAGGTACAGTGGAAAGAAGAGAACCAGTTTGGTGTAATGGTTAAGATACTATAGTAGATTAGCAACTGTGAGACCATGAGTTCTAGTCTCGCCTTAGGCACGAAGCCAACTGGGTGACTTTGAGCCAATCATTTTCTCAGCCCTAGGAAGCTGCCCAAAACTTTACCAGGAGAACTGCAGGGCTTTGTCCAGGTACTTGCCTGGGGGAGGAGGGGGGATTTAGTTGGTGATGTATAAGAAAGAAATATGTGAAAATCAAATTTTATTATCCCTTGTAGCTGAAATTAATTAGGAAATTGATGTAATGTTGCATTTCTTTTACTTCACAGTAATCAGTTACAATTATATGCCTACGAAACAGTTGATATTACTTCCTTACACATCAATGTAGTAAACTAATTGTTAGGGGATTTAATTACTTGATTAGCAAATTTAATTCTGTAACTATCAAAGCAAATACATTTTCATCGGTTGATTTGCTTCCTGCTGATTTTGGGGGGGGGGGGGGGCGAGATAGGAGACATTCTGTTTTTGTCCTACTTTTTTTTTGACAACTGGAGAGTTAAAATTCATTCTAATGGAATAATAGCAGTTTTATGTTTTCCAGTCCAGTCACAAATAAATCATGTTAAATTAAGAAAAAAGGAAGAAAAAGAATTCAAATTTTGACCATTAAAAATGTACCCTGTGGCTTAACCCCTAAAATGATTTCATAGGAAAAGAATTCAAAATTAGGTATGTGCAAGCTTTAAGTAAGTGACATTTTTGGAAAGCTTTGAAGCAACACAACTTCATAACTGCAGACCAAAAAAAGAAGTGTTGCAGAGCTGAAAATACTGACAACTAGCCAAGAGAGTGCTTCCAAGAAAAGTATATACAATCCATATTTTTCATAAGCATCTATTAAAAGCAACTATGACAGGTCAAATGAAGGTTGTACGTTGAGATGTCAAAACAGCATAACTCAAGGATGAAGGAATAAAATGACCAGGGAGGTAGTAATGTACTAACTGAATTAACAGAATGCTTGCAGCTCAATAGTTCATGCAGAGAATCCATGATAATGTTGAGTAGGTCTTCAGCTAAGAAAAAGACAACCAGATTGAACTAATATTCCAACTCAAGTTATGTACTTTTCCGTCTTCTTTGAACATTACATTAATAGGAATTTTTAAAATTATACCAGGTCTTTGAATAAATTGCAGTAAAATTGACTGATTGTTTTAGCACTTTGAAGCTATTGAGCTTCTACTGTTCAGGCTAAAAGTGCTGTCATTCCATTGTTGTAACCCTGAATAAATAAATATTTCTTTTTTACCCTTTTCTTCTGTCTTTCATTCTTACCAGAAACCTTTAAAGAAAGAACAGAAAATATGTTTATCTGTTGCATATAAGAAAGCTGATGCTACAAGTAGAGAGAGTAAAACCAGTGCTTTAGATTCCTCTTTCTTAACACTTTAAAAGGGCAATAAGCTATTAATTATTGAGTGTATCATAGGTCTATTTTCAGTACTAGGGAGAGGTGCTTCTGACTGTGTACTCTTTTCCTTTATTTAAGAAGGACGTGATTTAATTTAATTGCAATAGCTTTGCCCTAAAAAATAGGGGTGAATCAAGAGAGATTGCAGAATACCTATTATGTACCAGACTATTATAATTCAGGTATTTAATTTTTTTGTTTGATTTAAAAAAAAATCTAAGAAGAAGCATCAATGTTGAAATAAACCCATTGGCATAAGCTTTGATCTCAAAGCCCATTTAAAGAAAAGTTCTGACAGAACGGAAAGTTTTGTGAAAAACTTAAATAAATATAGTGAGCTGTTCAAGATAGTAAATTTTTACAGGTAGTCCTTGGGTTATGACCCTTTGTTCAGTGACTGTTGAAAGTTACACAGTAATTTTGACTGGCTCTCAAATTTGCCATTGTAGTATCATCACAATTTGGGTGCTTAGTAACCAGCTCACAGTTATGATGGTTGCAGTATCCCAAGATCACATGATCATCATTTACAACCCTTCCTTCTGGCCTTCCAGAAGCAAAGTCCATGGGGAATCTGGCAGAAGATTGCAAATTGCTCCTGCAAATTGCCTGCACCACTTTTTTGCCTGCCCACACAGGCTCCGTAGTGCCTATGGCATGCTCTCCTATGGTATCTACTCATGCTTCATAGCAACTCCCCCCTCCCCCATGCTCCATAGCACTTGTCTGCAGCACCCACCCACTTGCCCTCTGTACTGCCTGTCCCAGCTCTAGCACACTCCCATTCATAGTACTTCCCCAACCAGCTTGTTTGTCGGGGCCCTCATGGTCATGTAAGGTGCTCGCTAAATGACCCACACAGTCCTGGGGTTACAACAGCAACCAGGACTGCTCGGATTGCCATCACTAAGCAATGCAGTCATGTTACTTTGCACTTTACAACCACATTGCTTAGCAGTGGAAATTTTGATCCCCCTTGACATCATAATCCAAGGACAACCTGTAATGTAGATGCCCTGTTGAAAATGGTGAATTCTTTATATGTTTGTCAGGTTTCTTTGAAAGTTGGCATGCTTGAAGCAGAGGCTCATCTAAGGACATTAATCCAAGGGTAACACATGAGAGAAAGTGTTCCTTATATTTGCCTAGTTTAGAGAGAATATAAAAATGAACTTTCAGCTTCAAAAACTATTCCTTTCCCAAGCCATAAAACTTAGTGCGTGTATAACATTCTTTTTATTTATTTATTTGTATCCCACCTATATTATTTTTATTTTTTATTATTTTTACAAGGCAGTGAACATACCCAACATACTTTACTCCTCTTGTATAATTATTTATTCTTTGGATTATTGACTCATAGCACATTGTTCCATTAATCTTACTGCTGACTAGATTGCATTTTCTTATTTTTGGAGCTTTGCATTTTAAAGTTTACATTTTGACAAAACGCTATACTTTCACTAATAAAATCATTTTACTCATTGCATTTATACTACAGGACTTCTTATTCAGGCAGTAGTACACAATGTAAAAATTAGTTTAACAGAATTTTAAAGTACTTTCCTAATAGATGTTTCTCCCTTAAATAGAAATTGAGAGCATTAAGTTGGCAAAGCAGCAGCACAAAGCAGAGGCAAAGCGGAAAGCGACTCCAGTTGTTGGAGATATGCATCCATTGATGGATGCTCTGCCTGAGCTTTCAGATCTGGTGACAGTAAGCAAGTTCTGCAAACAGCGTACTAAAATGTAAGTGCTTTGAGTACTGTAATAGATGGTTCTGATTCCTCATTTAAGCAAACTCTGGCTGTATATAAGAAAGCTTCAAGGTCGAAGGCTTTGCTTAGGTTCTAGACCAGTGGTTCTCAACCTTCCTAATGCCGCAACCCTTTAATACAGTTCCTCATGTTGTGGTGACCCCCAACCAGGGGTGGGTTCTAAATTTTTTTACTACCGGTTCTGTGGGCGTGGCTTATTTTGTGGGCGTAGCTTGGAGGTCATGTGACTGGGTGGGCATGGCTAGCTGGTCATGTGACCGGGTGGCCATGGCTATGTGTATAAGAACTACTCAGAGGGCTGAAAAAAGTCATTTCTGACAGATCCTCGTACTTTTGACTGGTCCTCACACTTATGACCATCCTCACAGTTATGCCCGTGCAGCATTCTTAAAAACCAAGTCACTCATTTCACAACTGCTTCTTTTCACCATGGTGATAAGATAGGGCAAAAAACGTAAAATGTGAGGACAGTCGTAAATTCAAGATCTGGTCAAAAGTGCGAGGACCAGTCAGAAATAACTTTTTCAGCCCTCTGAGTAGTCCATATGCATAAAAGGATACAGCAATAGAGAGGAATGAAGGAAGGAAAGGGAAATTAGAGTAGGAGTGAAGGTAAGAGAGGGAGGAAGAGGGGAGGAGAAGGAGAAAGAAAGAGGAAGTAGGGAGAAGAAGAAGAGGGGGGGAAGAGAAAGTAAGAAGGAAAGAAAAGCAGAGATGGTAGGTTTGAGGAGAAAGATTGCTGTACAATAAAAAAGATGAAAGGGAAGAAAGCCAACCCCAAACAAATATTAAGATATTAAGATAAAGAATGAATTGTTAAACTTTAAAGAATAAAAGAGAACAAATAGAAATAAATAGCAATAATTAGAAACACACATACAAACATACAACATATTTTCTTTGAACAGAGTATTTGGCCGGTTCACAAATTTAAACAGTTGTAGGAGGTTAGCACCCACCCCTTTCCTAGAAGAATGAAATATTTTGGGAAATATTAAAAAGGCAGAATATTATATTTCCCTGGATGAGAAATGGAGAAGCATATTTTACAGACAAAGCAGCTCCCACCTTCCTGCCCCCCACCCTTTGTTAATGGGCCAGAGGCAGAAAGTCAATCCTTTGTCAAAGGACATTTGCAACACAATAGCAACAGAAACTAACACAATGGGCCCCATCAAGCCATGTGATCCTGTCCACCATTAAACCATCTTTCCAAGCAGTCTCCATGTTTCCAGTGTCTTTTTCCCCACTTGGAGCAGAACCCAGAAGGCTATTTCTTCCAACACAGTATTTAGTCATTTCAATTAAATTTACAATTTCTATATTTCCTTTTTACCATATTTATTCCTCATCTATTTTTTTAAAAAACCAATATTACCCTTCATCCTCATCTCTAATCTTAATCAAATTCAATTTTTCCCTTCTATTCTATATTATACCCCTCCCCATTGTCATCTATTTTTATATCCATCCTCACATTGTTTAATTATGTAATATTACAGTTGTTTAATACAAATTCAACATTTTAATATAAATCAATTAGTTATATAACTATCTTTTTTGTATATTAATCAATATGAACATGAATATTCCAATTATTTCCATGCAATCCAATTTCTTACAAATCAATTAATTATATTTACCAATAATAATAAACCAAATAATTTCCCCCATATATTCCTCCAAACCACAACTTAACCATTTCTGCTTTCAACACAATATACAATTAATAGTATCTCAATTATTACAATTCCCTAGTTAAATAGAGCTTTTTTTCTTTTGTGTTTTAAAATCTTGAACTCTCCTCTTTTGCCCTAAATTTCCCATTGTTTGCAACTACCTTTTTTGGTGAGGAAAAAGAAAAGAAATCTACCTGCCTAATTTTCCAACGTTGCAGCAACAGCAAAGCCAACAGCCTGCTTTACTTTCAGTTTTGTTTTTCAGCATAGCTAGGGGAAAAAAAATCTGCAGCAAGCAGCAGAGCCCTGAGCAAAACAGCTGAGAGCAAATCAGCTGAGAGTCGGGAGCCGAACTAATCAAGGGCTAATTAGCCTATGCTGAAGCTCCGCGGGCCAATAAAATTACAAAAAAACACCGAACCATTTGTTAAATTGCTGGCTCGCCCGCCCCTCGCCCACCACTATTTATTGGCAATAAATAGTGGTGCAGAGGGGCGGGGCAAGCCAGCAGTTTAACAAATGGTTCGGCCGAACCCCCTAAAACCGGCAGAATCCCACCACTGGCTATAGGGCGGCCCTTTGAAGCCCCGCAGCAAGAATTTAAACAGTTTTTTTTCCTCTAGCCATCAGCTGGGACTCAGGAGGCAGCAATAGATTGGGAGTGGGCGGGATAAGCGAACGGCCGGCGATCCAACAGAGCAGAGAGTGAGGGTGAGAGAAGGCATCGGGGGGGGGGCGAGAGAGGGCTTTGGCGACCCCTGTGAAATGGCCGTTCAACCCCCAAAGGGGTCGTGACCTCCAGGTTGAGAACCGCTGTTCTAGATACATAAAGTAAAAAACCCCTCTCACTTTTTGCTGTTAATCAAGATTATGAATACACTTATTTGTTAGCTCCTACCGTGTTTCCCCGAAAATAAGACCCTGTCTTATATTTTTTTGAACTCCGAAATAAGGGCTTGGCCTTATTTTGGGAGGAGTCTTATTATTTTGGGGCACAATTTGGGGGTGGCAGGTGGGGTGGGGAGGGGGAGAAGCGAGGGGCAGGAAGCCCTGCCATGCCTGACGAGAGAAGAGACGACAAGAATCACAGCTGCTTTTGCAACTGATTGAGGCTGCAAAAGCAGCAAGAGAAACGGTGGAGGGGAACCAGGAGGATCAGGTAGATGAGATGCTGGGTGGTGAGAGCGGCGACTGTTGCCACGAGCAAAACACCGGATGAAAGTACCCGCTGTGCAGGTGTGCTGAGCCTGCATTGCGTGGCTGGCGGGGCGGCCACAATTTCCCGAGTGCAAGCCTTTCCCGGTTGCTGGACACTGGGCCCTCCCTGCCCTCCAATTCATAGCAGGGAGGCTGTCCTTGGCGGGCGGAGTGGCAGTTTCCGCCTCCTCCTCCCGAAAGCCCGCCCCACTTAAAGGCCCAGCACAGCGCTTCCCCTAGCTCGGCTGCCCCTCTCCGATTGCGCAGCCTCCCAGCCCCTCGGGATAAACTGGCCAAGAGGCTCGCACAAATTCGCTCACAGCAGTGAGTCAAACCTGTCCTGAGCCTCACCGCTTTCAGTCACAGCCTCCCTGGCCCGAGGCTACCGCAGCGGCTCATTCACTTAGGAAGGACGTGCCCTTTTCTGGCCAGTCGTTGCTTTGGAGAAATGTCACAGCTAATCTCCACACAGCCTCGCCCACAAACAGTGCAGGCCAGGAGCCCTTTACTCCCCGGTTCTGCCTTCAGGACTCTACCGGGTGGCCCCCTCCCCACAAATTCTTGGCCTGCCTTTGTCAACGTTACAGAAGATGCAACACTGCACACTGCCCATAAGTAACATGCAGCCTCTCACAGTAACGAGAATTGCCTGCAATTTTCCTTACTGTGAGAGGCTGCACATTGCAGAGAAGAACGAAGCAAGGCGGGGTGGGGTGGGGTGGAGGACAAACCAAGGCAGGGGCTGTGGAGCTGCCCCAAAGCCCCACATCGGCTTACCTGAAGGCCCTTCAGCCAGGCCACCCATGCCAAACCCTCCCCCTCCCCCCCAGAGCAGCCACATCCCTTCACTAACCTGCTTTCCAGCTCCGTTCTCCCCTGCGCGTAGTCTGTTGGACTACAGTAAAAAAAAAAAAAAAATACCGGTAGTTCAGACCTTCCAACTTCTCATGAAGAAAAAAAAAATCTTGCAAAGTTGGAAGGTGTTTTTACCATAGTCCCACAGAGTACTTTTCTTGCCTTGCATGTGACGGTGGAGAACGGAGATGGAAAGCAGGTTAGTGAAGGGATTTGGCTGCCTTGGGAGGTTTGTGGGGGTGAGGGACCTCTGTGTGTGTTGTGTAGAGAGGGGGTGGGGCAGAGAGAACATTGCTGCCAGCCCTGGATAACTCTCCGATGTTGGATCGGATCTCTCTCTTTCTCTCTCTCTCTCTCTCTCTCACACACACACACAGTTCTTTCTTTGGGATTGCAGCACAGATGGCCCTTCCAGGATTGCAAGGCTGAAGGCTTCAGATGGAGCATTTTGGGGATGTGTGTCTGTGCTGCGATCCCAAATCAAGAAAGATTGGCAGGAAAAGGGGGCAGAGGCCAGCAGCTGGGGAGGTGCTCTAGAGATATAGGCTGAGTTGCACAGCCCTCGCTAGCTTAGCTGATCAGTGGGCAGCAATTAAGGGGCTGAACCTCCAGGAGGTGACCGGGGAAGGGAAGGGCTGCCTCCTGTGCTGGCCATGCCCACCCCTTCACTAGGACTTATTTTTGGGAGAGGGCATATATTTATGCCCGCCCCAAAAATCAGGTTTGTCCTTATTTTCGGGATACGTCCTATTTTCGGGGAAACACGGTACTAAGGACGTGCTTTCAAAATTTTCCAATCCTTTGTTGACTGAAAAGTTGCAAAGGTACACATACTTGCTTCAAAAGAGATGGACAAACTCCTGAAGGCATGTTTTAATTAAAAATCAGGACTATCCTAAATATTGGAAGTTTAGATAAATATTTGTAAATAATTGAAAATGTGAAGCTTTAATATTATTCCAGGAATGTATAACTACAGATCATTTTTCAATAAACTTGTTAATTTGTCTTAAAGTAAATTCTCAAACTTAATTTATATATATATTTTTAAAAAATGTTTTGCTGTTGTGTAATTTAGCAACTACTCAGTTGATAAATCAGTAGATGCTTTAACAATGGTAGAATGAGAAAAATGAGGTTTCCGGGTTATTTTCAAAGTTGGAAGTAACATGGTTCTTCCTGTCACAGAAATACTATTTATTTGGAATTCAAAGTAGCACCACATTGTTCAAAAGTGATGGACACTTTTAGAAAACAAAACTATGGGCAGAGTGCATTAACCATTATTTCTGTTTTCTTTAGGCAGAAGAAGAAGAAAGTGTTGACAAATTTCAACCAGATGAAATCAGCCCAGAAGCGCAAGGTCTTGTAAGTATTCATAGGGAAAGAAGTCTCTTGAGCAATGACACCAAAATCTGCTGTATCACAGTTGCAGAGCAATTCTGTGGTTCTGCTGTGGGAAAAGTAGCTGCATCCCGATATTGCCAGTGTGATGAAGTTGTGCAGATTCCATTCTTAACAAGTAGCAAGGCAATAGCAAAATAGCTGTAAAAACAAATTCAAAACCAGTAGTACTTGTACCATCTCACATTCTCTAACAGTTTGTTGCTATCATACCATCATGTATGCACTGACAGTGTCCCTTATTGAGCACTGCATTAAAGATACTAATACATGTTGATCAGTAACGTTCCTTTACTTGGCATTTAGTGTGCAGCATACACTATAGATATTTGACCTATTTTGCTATTCAGAAATTAAACAGAAATTAACAAGGCAATCAAAATCCTGATAAAAAGTGCCCATAATAATTTGAGAAGGTTGTACAGGCTTAACAACTGGTCCATTAGCAACCAAAGTTACAACTCTAAGTATCTGTAAGACTTCCTTAGAGATACTTATGACCTGGTTCTGAACTTCTGATGACTGTACATACACACCTGCAAATGATTGCATTTGGGGCATTTGGCAACCCAATTACATTTACGGCCATTTACACAGTCCCACTGTCATATGACCATGATTTTTGTGATTTTTGCCGGTTCCTTCCATTTAATTCTGGTTTCTAACAAAAAAATGCCCCTTGAAGGAAACAGGTTCATCTAGTGACTGCAGTGTTCACTTAATGACCACCACAAAAAAGGTTGTAAAACTGGACAGTCAGGTGTCGACCTGTTTAATGACTGCCATGACATATGACTGTAATTCCAGGCTCAATTATGGTTGTAATTTGAGGACTATGTGGAGCCAAATTGGAAACAAATTGGAATATTCTAGGTGATGTCTTGCCCTTGGAATGGTCTTTCCCAATCTTGTGCCCTCCAAATACTTTGGATTTTAACTCCCATAATCTTCAGCCAACATAGGGTTTGAACATATTCTGGTTGGGCTTTATTCAGTGTATCTGGAAGGCAAAAGCTGCCATAGGAAAAATGTGCTTCTGCTCCTAAAAAATCAGTAGCAATTAATGGAAGATATGCTCTACACACTTCTGCCCTCTGCATCACATCCCATTTGTTTTGGAGGACTTTATAACCCTCAAGAGCATCTTGTTTCTGGGGAAATGGGATGATATGGCTGTGGAAGAGATTCACAAAATCAGGCTCTCTAATTTAGTAGAAACATTTTCCTGTAAAGAAGACACCAGTGGGAACTATTTTGTAAAAGTACATTAATATAATATTTTTTTTAGAGACAGTAGGACACTGGGTGAGCTCAGCTGTGCCTTGTTAGTGTCTCTTTAATTTCTCTATATTATAAGAATATATGCTGGGAGCATTGGCAATAGGATTTATTTAAAATGTAATGCTTAGAGCTCTCTTCTTATGGATTACAGTTTTCAGTGTACATATGCTATCAGTTTGGTTATGTTAAGTTGGTCATATTTGAGTGTGTTAATATATTGTAGCGAAATATTTTGCTTTACTAAAATACTGTGCATCTTTTGTTAGGACATTTTTCCATCCCTCACACTTTAATCTTCTCTCCCCCCACCCCACCCAAAAAATGTAATGCCAGCAAATTAATTGATACATTTCTCCCTTTTCTTCCTTTTTTTCCCCCAGGGAAGAGGAAATGGCACAGTTTCACAAGACAATATCAAACCCTTTGTTCAAAGCCAACCCTCTGTCAATCATTAGTCAGCATCTTTCCAAAAGACTAAAACAGGAGAACAAGGAAGAACCACTTTAATACCATGCCTGAGGATGTTTGAAAACTCCAGCAATGACTCCATCATGGCTTTATCTATACAGTAGCTTAATGTAACTTTCAGAAACCAGACCCAGTCACTTTCTTTGCTGAGCACAGAAATAAGGTGATCAACATCAATTTGCGCACTATGAGTACTAGCTACAACTCTGGATTGTTTTGTTGGAGACTTGTGAAACTCTGTAGATGTAAGACTGTTCTAATTTCCCAAATTTATCCTAATTATAGTTCTGTAATGTAATGTATAAATCATCAACTTTCTACCTCCGAGTAATGTAAACCTTTTTGTTTGTTTCTTTTTGTGAGCAGTTAAATGGCTGCCTTTAGAAAATTGTTTTGGTAAATGCAACATTGTGATTAATAAAATACCTAGTGCTTTGCTCTTTGAAGATAGTCAAAATCGCTTTTTTAAAATTTGAAATGTGATGACATACTTAAAGACCGTACATATTAGATGTGTACATTCAAGTTAGTTTGTATGTATGTGTAAGTATATTTGTACACAAACATCAGTATTTGTCTGTATAATACAGTGGTCCCCAATTTTTCCAGCTCCACGAACCAGTAGTAGCTGCTGTGGGGGGCGAGAGGATGGTTTCATGCACATGCCCACTTGCACAAATTGGTAGCTTCCGCAACCCAGTTCCCAATGGGCCATGGCCCAGTACTGGGCTACAGCCCAGGGGTTAGGGACCCCTGGCATAACATACATGAAATTATGGAAAGTAATGTCCATTTTATCTAGCTGAAAATGGACATTACTTATAAACAGTTTATAAGATCTATGAAATTCAACAGCGGTCTCCAACCTTTTTGGCTCAACTTAAGAAAGTTAAAAACTCTTGAAATGAGATATTTCAAAAGGAACCTTTTATTAAGCAGAAGTGACAGCAATGGATTCAAAACAACGTCCGAATACCCTTAGGCAAGACAAGTAGGATTAAAGCAGTAGAGACCCCTCCCTTAAGCCAGAATGCAGATTTTAGCCCTTACACAAGTGTGAAGATGTTTTCTTTACCAGCTGCCCTGAGAACCAGATAAACGTGTATTCACATCATTATCCTCCGTTATCCTTTAAAGTGAAACAGTCCCACATGGCTGTCATAAACATTTCTCAATGTTAAGGAGATTTCAGGGCACTTTGGCACCAGGATATAGGTTGTAAAATATCTGTTGACACAGGCAACGCTAATAAATCAAATCCAAGTCCCCTTCTCCCAATTGAATGTCAGTATCACTTTTAGGGATCTGACTTGAAGAAGCTATAAGCTAAAAAATAAAAGACTAAAATCTTTTCAGCTATTAAACTTGGTCAGATCCTGTTCCTTGGCATAAAATAGCTGTGTTATGATGTAGAAAATTCATCCAACAGTAATAAGTGGGCATAAAATTTACCAATAGGATCTTGAGAGTAATGAGTGGATGTGGCTGGGGAATTTGGGGAATTGGAATTCACAAGTCTTAAAGTTGCCAAGGTTGGACACCCTGAAAAAAAAGCAGTGGGTATTTATGACTATCAAAACGTCCTGTAGTCACGTGATCTACATTTGGGTACTTTGCAAGTGATGCCTGTCTATGTCGGACAAAGCATCCATAATCAACATCTGGGTACTATACTTAGTGACATTTGCTTGTGATGCAACATCATGATTTTTTTATTTGCTCTCCAAGAAAATGAAGAGAAGTCTCTTGCTCTTGCCCTTAAGAGCATTCAGAAATCTCTCAAAGCATAACCTATATCAGAAGAATTAGCTTGCCCTTAGAAGACTTCATATGTTATACTGTGTCCTAAGAAATATGATCAAGTGTGACTTCTAAAAGAGTCCTCTTTCCATCAGCATTATATATTTTTTTCAGGTAAACAGCTTGTTCTATCACCTTTCATTAGACAGAAAATTTGGATACTGCTACCTCATCATCTGATAACTGTCCATGTAACTCCACATTATGCAAATGTTTTCAAACCATCCTTTTTGCTGGCCATAAAAATGCTAGGTTCCCCATTTCTTATACTATACCGTGTTTCCCCGAAAATAAGACCCTGTCTTATATTTTTTTGAACCCTGAAATAAGCACTTGGCCTTATTTTCGTGGAGGTCTTATTATTTTGGGGCGCGTGGAGGAAACCAGAGGAAATGGCGGGGACTGGCTGCACATGGCATTTAAATATTTTTGGAGAGAGATTATTTTGGGGGGGGGGCTTAATGCATGCACTCAAAAGCCCGATTGGGCTTATTATCAGGGGATGTCTTATTTTAGGGGAAACGGTAGTGATCACAAAATGTTCACACATTTCTTAATTTATTCATAATTGTATAAATACAATGGCATTTTCTTCTGGCTCTAATCTTCCATCTAAAAGTTAAGGTCTCTATGTTTTGGCCACAGGAAACATTAAGTGCAGTTACCATTCTATTTTTGATGTACAGGAAGTCCTTGATTTATGACCTCAGTTGGGATTGGAACTTCCATTGCTAAATGAGGTGGTTGTTAAATGAGTCATACCCAATTGTACAGTCTTTTTTTGCTATTATGGTTTAAGCAAATCGCCATGATCATTAAATACAGTCATGTGAAAAAGAAAATACACCCTCTTTGAATTCTACGGTTTTATGTATCAGGACAAATCATCAGGTCCTTAGCAGATCTTAAAAGTAGGTAAATACAACCTCAGAGGGACAACACATGATATATCGTGTCATCATTTCTTTTACAAAAAAAAAACAAAACCAAAATGGAGAAGCCACATGTAAAGAACTAAGTACACCTTATGATTCAATAGTTTGTAGAACCACTCGCTTAATGACCACAATACTTAGCAACTGAAATTATGGTCTCATTTGTAGTCATAGGTTGAGGACTATCCTGTATAGTTAACTCAAATATATTGAAGGATTATGAAAACTGGGTGATTTGTTGTCTGAGCAACCACACTTGCCTTGACTGAAAGTGAAATAGAAAAGATACTGGAAGGCTGTTGATCAGCAGACTTGTTTAGTTTATGAAGTGCCCCTGGGAGGAAAACAGATCTGCCTGACCTTTGTGACTATTGGTGATCTTTGTGACTATGTTTCACAGCATTTTGCTGAACCTCCCCCCCTCCCACACACACACACAATTGCAAGAATCCTAGAATGAACTCTTGTGAGGGCATCTGCACTCCTTTTTACTTGTGGACTCTTATGAGAGGGTATTATCTAACATTTCTGCCACTTCTGGGCTAGATCCTTGAATTGTGGTAAGAGTATTTGCATATGGCTGTGGGATTAAGAGCGACCAATTTCTTACTTTATGGTAATGTTAATGTGAATGTTTAATTGTATAAGATGGGCAAGTTATTATTTAGAAATGTACTATATAGGACTTCCGGTTGACGTTGCAGTGGGAGCGGACTAGAAAATAGTGGGCTCTGATGAGCCGTGTGAAATCCAGCCGAATGAACCATTGCCGGGAGGCTTTCGAGCCATAGCCTCTTGCAGGGACGGGAAGAAAGGAGAGGTGTTTTGTGGACCGTGAGGAATTGGCAATTTCCTCGCTGGAACAGAAACAGCTCTCCCAAAGCGGCAGCGGGGGCAGCGGCCATTTTATGGTGGCCATCTTGAAGCTGGGACAACTGGACTGAAGAATTGATTTGGAGTGGTGTTTGGACAGAGTGCTAGAACTGGGTGAGATAATTGCCAATTTATACTAAGAAAAAATTGAAATTGGAGTCTTAAAAGAAATTCCTGAGCTTGGACTAGCATATCTGGCATTTGGGGGGGAAAAACAGGCGGAAAAAAGAAGAAGCTGGGACTGTAATATAAAAAGCCTAAGCAGAAGTTTTAGATCTGGAAAATTGAGAAAAGCAAAATATTTCAAAAGGGGAAAAAAGTGATTTTCGGAAGAAAACAACAACTTATATGAGGATTTTAAAAATTTCTGGATATTTTGATAATCGGATTTAACAGACTATTTTGTAACGGAATAGTAACGGAGAGTCATCTGCTGGAGGAAAGAAAAAGTACTGCAGTACTAATAGACGAAACAGAAGAAATAGCAGCTGGAAGCCCTGACCTTGGTCATATAGAAGAAGATAATTTGGACACTGAGAACAATTAAGGAGTGACTGTTTTACATCTGAGATTTTCTTTCATTTCCCTTCTCTCATGGAAGATAGCTTTTTAATTGGATTTGACTGTTGCTGAATTTGGACAATTAATAATTGTGATCTTTTTAAACTTGAAGAACAAAGGAATAATTGAAGAAGAAAAAGACGAAAAGAAGAGATATAAGAAAATTAAATAGACTTTAAATATTGGCTAATTGCAAAGAGATACAATTGGGGAGGTTTTAATAATCTTTTAAATTGTTACAAAATGGAGTTGCAGATATATGAAGAGTTAATTTTGATGTTTAAAAGTAGGCGTGAATGTTTATTAGGCAAAACCCCAGAAAATTCACTGAAAGATATAGAAAAAGAAAGTGAAGAGGGAATTGTAAATGAGAAGCAAGAAGTTAATAATGTTGAAGAGAAAATATTAAAAAATAAAAATCAGATAGATAATATTATAGAAATTTTTGGGAATGCAAAAAGAGTAGAGAGGAAAGGGGGAAAATTCTCCCTAAAAAAGAAACAGTTAAAAGGGAAAAGGGAAATATCTGGGAGAGACAAGGGAAAGTCTTGGTGAGGGATGCTCAAAAAGTACAACAAAAAAAGATAAAAGGAATGCAGAAGATGAAAAGTAACATATAAAAAGAAAAAAAAGAATTGAGAAGTTAGAGCGAGATAAAGGGTCAAGCAAAAAACTATTAGAAAATGGGAAAAGATTGAGAGATGATGGTTAAAGATGAATGATGATGAGATAAATATTAGTAAATACATATAAGGTAGATTAATAAACGGGAATGGGGAAGTAGACAATATAACAATAATAGTGATTGTGATAGTCTTGAATTTAAATTGTTATTGTATTGGTAAGAGAAGAATTATAGGATATACTGTGATGTTATTTAGGTGAAGGCATTGAATATGAAATGATAAAGAAATGTGAAAATAAGTAATTTGATAACATTAATTTTGATAACAATGTAAAATAAGATGAATATTTCAAATGTCAATTGTAAAGAGAATAACAATGTTGAAATCATGTTAGCAATTATTGTAAAGAAGAATGAATAGAACTTGTTTGTGAGAAACCTCAGCAGATTGAAATGTGAAAATAAGTACTTTAATATTATTAATTTTGATAACAATGTAAATTAAGATTAATAATTCAAATGCTAATGATTGGGAAAAAGGAATTAGAAACATAGTTCTGGAAATGAAGAAAGATGGTAAATAACTGGAATAATTGAAAGTGAGGAGAAATATAAGGCCTAAAATGATCTTATTTGTAAGTAAAATTGAAAA